ATCATGTATCAGAGGACACAACAGATACTTCTTCTCAGCACTGCAAATCAAGGATTGATCTCTCTGACAGCCATCTTGATGACCCACAGAAGCAAGTAGTCTCTGACATGCTACAGCGTTGGGATTGCATCATGTCTTCAGATATCACAGACTTAGGTTGTTGCAACACTGTGAAGCATGGAATCAGGTTGACAGATGATACTCCTTTCAAGCAGCCACATCGAAGAATCCCTCCTGGATTATTTGAAGAAGTAAGGGAACACCTACATGAGATGATAGCATGTGGAGCCATTAGAGAATCTCACAGTCCCTACTCATCTAATGTGGTGTTAGTCCGCAAACAGGATAACAGTCTACGTTTCTGTCTTGACATGAGATTGTTGAATTCAAGAACAGTTCGGGATTCCTACTCAATTCCAAGAATTGATGAAACCTTAGATTGTCTGTCTGGATCGAGATGGTTCTCCAAGTTGGACTTGCGCTCTGGATACTGGCAAGTTGAGCTTGAGGAAAAGGACAAGGAGAAAACTGCATTTTCCGTTGGACCATTAGGTTTTTATGAATGTAATAGAATGCCATTCGGTCTAACCAACGCTCCAGCAACATTTCAAAGGCTCATGGAGAAATGCATGGGAGATTTAAATCTAAGAGAATGTCTCATCTACCTTGATGACATCATCATCTTCTCAAGCACAATTGACGAGCACTTGGAAAGACTGGAAGCAGTATTTCAAAGACTCAGAAATAACGGACTAAAGCTAAAACCATCTAAATGTCAGCTTTTCAGAAAAAGGGTGAAGTATCTTGGTCACATTGTATCTGTTAATGGAATCGAGACTGATCCAGAGAAGATTAGTGCTCTGAAGACCTGGCCAGTACCACAGAATACAGAAGATGTTCGCAAATTCCTAGGATTTACTGGGTACTACAGGCGATTTGTGAAGGATTTTGCCAAGATCACTAAGCCACTCAATGATTTGCTCGTAGGACAACCCAAGAAGAAGAGCAGGCGACCTACAAAAGTGATCAACAATTGGATCTGGTCAGGAGAACAGCAAGCAGCATTTGATACTCTCATCCATCATTTAACGCAACCACCGATACTCGCCTATGCTGATTATTCCCTGCCTTTTGAGGTACACACAGATGCAAGCGGAGCTGGACTTGGAGCAGTTCTTTATCAGAAGCAACAAGGATGTTTGAGGGTTGTAGCCTATGCCAGTAGAGCTCTACGGAAGAGTGAGAAGAATTACCCAGCTCACAAACTGGAATTCCTGGCACTCAAGTGGGCAGTAACTGACAAGTTCCACGAATATCTCTATGGAAACAAGTTTGAAGTGAAGACGGATAATAATCCTTTGACATATGTCCTCACTACTGCTAAACTTGATGCCACTGGACATCGCTGGCTAGCAGCACTTTCAGCATATGATTTCAAGATCATTTATCGCCAGGGAAACAAGAACCAAGATGCAGATGGATTGTCCAGACGGCATAATCATGGAGCTGATTTAACCAAACTGGATGTTCCAAGTATCAAGGCCATCTGTCAAGTTCACCAGGCGATAGGTACTCGTGCTGAAAGTCTCACCTTTTATGAGGAGGCCATATATCCAGAGGAACCATCCCTGCCTTTAGCCTCGAAAGAACACAACTGGAGGAAAGAACAATCACTGGATAAAACACTTGCTCGGCTGATATCACTTTTGAACCTAGGACACAAGCCAACAGCACGCCAACGTTCTCTTGAAGATCAATCCGTCAGGAAACTCCTTCTGGAATGGGACAAGTTTCTTCTAAACAAAGGAGTTCTCTATCGAAGTGTGAACAGTTGTGATGGAGTTGTACATCAAATTGTGTTACCAACCATACACACGGAAACAGTTCTCAAGGCCATCCATGATAATTCAGGACATCAAGGCAGAGACCGTACTCTCGACTTAATTCGAAACAGGTTCTTCTGGACTGGCATGAATGAAGATGTAGAGAGATACATTCGTAAATGTGGAAACTGCATCAGACGAAAATCACCTGTAACAAGGAAATCAGCTGAGCTAGTCAACATTCAGACAACCCAACCAATGGAACTAGTGTGCATGGACTACCTGCAATTGGAGGAATCAAAAGGTGGATTTGGGAACATTCTTGTGATCACAGATCATTTTACAAGATATGCTATTGCCATACCAACCAAGAATCAATCCGCCAAGACAACAGCAAGAGTTCTTTTTGATAATTTCCTTGTGCACTATGGATTTCCAGCCAAACTTCACAGCGACCAAGGGAGAAACTTTGTAGGCAATATCATCAAGGAGTTATGTCAACTGACAGGAATTCGGAAGACTCGAACCACACCATATCATCCCCAAGGAAACGGAATGTGTGAGAGATTCAACCAGACTCTTCTGAACATGTTGGGAACCCTTGATGAAGATAAGAAAACTGACTGGAAGACTTATGTTTCTCCACTGGTTCACGCCTACAATGCCACAAAGCATGAGAGTACAGGATACTCACCTTTCTACCTTATGTTTGGTCGACATCCACGCCTGCCTGTTGATGCTTTCCTTGGAGTCAAGAAGATTGGTGATGACCACACTACCACGACTGAATATATCAACAAATTGAGAAAGAGATTAAACTTTGCTTATGAAAGTGCATCACGTGAAGCCCAAAGAGCTGGTCAACGTCATAAGAAAAGATATGATGCCAAAGTGCGTGCCTCAACTCTCCAACCTGGTGACCGTGTCCTTGTTCGTCTTGTAGGACTTACTGGGAAACACAAGCTTGCTGATAAGTGGGGACGGGATGTGTTCCAAGTTGTAAACCAACCAAATAAGGACATCCCAGTATTCACCCTGCAACAGGAAGATGGCAAAGGACTGAAGAAGACACTTCATCGGAACATGCTCCTGCCACTTGTGTCAATACCAGCGGAACCAGTGTTTGGACATCAGAAAAACAATGAAAGAAAAGCAGGGACGAAGAAATCTGTATCCTTGAAGGTGAAAGAATACCAAGAACTCATGGAGTCAGAAGACGAAAATGCCGAGGAAGTATTTGTATTGTTACCAGATCCGATTAGTCCACCAGTGTCTCAGGTTACTGGATCCAATGGAACTAACTTTGGTCGAGATCTAGAAGAAAGAACTGAAGCTAATAGAGAGGAATCCATGGAAACAGTAGGAACTGTGATTGAGCTTGAAGACTCATTTCCTGCTGACACGTCTCCTGGACCACCATCTAACAGTTCTCCAACACGCTATACTTCCAGCCCTCCTGAACAGTCATCTGCTTCAGCGGAAGAGGAGCCCGGTACAACGTCCGCTCCTGACGAGGATGTAGTTGCAGACTCCACTGATCATGTGTCAGAACGGAATTCTGATATGGGGAGGCCTACCCGTAACAGAGCTCCTCCGTTTTGGCTCAGAAATGGCGATTGGGTAACTGACTACAGTATTCTTGCCAAATCATCTGTTTCCTCTGATAAAGATGTTTTCCTTTCTGAGGATACATCATCGGCCGCTGGTATCTCTGAATCGTTTGAGGTTTTTGTATAGTTGTGTTGTTAACTTTCAAAGTTGTGGACTCATAATGTGTGTAAGTAGTTGTATAAAGGTTTCACTTTTCTCTGTTTGGATGCTTCAGCGCATTTTAATGTTGAGGACAACATTTCTCAAAGGGGGGGAAGGTGTCGCCGGATTTATTAGTTGCCAAGAGTTATCTCTTTTTCATTTTACGGACGCTTCATCTCTCAATCTTACTCCTGGTTGTCTTACCATCAGTATCTCGTGCTAATACCTGGGGTGTGACACTTTCAAATGCCACTTCATGTCACGCCATTGTCGAGGGAAGACATTCTTTCTTCCTCGACACATCAGTTCATGTTGATGTAATTTATATATTTTTACAGGTATGTACCCGTGTCTATCTACTTTCTTTATGGAAATCTAGTCAATAGAATAGGTAACGCGATTGTAGAAACTAAATAATTAATGTTGTAAATTGTGAATATCATACTCGGTCTAAAGGCATCGCGTTGCACGAGATTACTAATTCAAACACTAAGTTTAAAGCACCATCCTGTAAGTAAGATTGTGAGTGAAAGATCTGGTTAAGTTCCATTTGTTTATCATGTATATATATTTTATTATTACATGAAAGATCATAAAAATGTTACTTTGTTTATAATGTGGTGACGTCACACATAACGTGTGCCGCCGAAATCATTTATTGCTGCATTTATAGTATATAAAGTAACAGCGTTTGAATATTATATTGTGCCATGCTATGCAACGTAATAAAATGGACTTCATGTCACGCCATTGTCGAGGGAAGACATTCTTTCTTCCTCGACACATCAATTCATGTTGATGTAATTTATATATTTTTACAGGTAATAAATCCTTTTATACCTCATCCGCACCGCCTCAGTTCCCTCGATTACATCGTTGGCAGAACCCGCGACACACACAAACTCTTATTGCCAAAAATATATTGAAATGGATCTCTGACATTGCCGGACAGTATACTACACAAATGTAAGCACAGTGTCTTAAGTATGACTGCTTCGAATGCTGCTATAGTAGGAGCACCAAACAAACATACACATTTACCAAACCAAATACGCTACAGTGGGTAAACAGCAACCTATCCTTGCATGTTGAGGGGCGGTGATGTTAGCACTTTTTTATTATTTATTATTGCCGGTCACATCAAACAACGCTACTTTTATGACATTGTAACAATATGCTAACGTGGAATTGATGATAACATTTGAATACCCGAGGTTAACCATATTTCAGCCTTGAAATCCAAAGTGATGATAGGACATTCAGGCAATGTACTGGAGATAATTACATTTCGTGGATGGTTGTCAATGCTAGATCTGCTACTGTCCGGAAATGCAGGGCTATTAAATAACTGCACATAGGCGATCCACTTAAAGAAACTTTGTATAATTACACTAACAGACAAAATAGACATCAAATTATAAATACCTTCACTTTTGGAAACAACAAGTGTCTTCTTAATTAGTTATTATATAATTCGACATGTGTAAATCATGTCAAATCCTGTTCTAAGAGGCCGCCATGAGAAATATCTATACCAGAATGCATCACTGTAAACAAAGGGGGAGTCACTCTAAAGAGCCTTGTGCTAAGCGAGTTTGTTGGTAAAGTAACCGCCGTAGACCAATACAAACATTCACATGACTTTTTTGTACTTTGGGGAATATCAAAAAGTTATTTCAAAATGTCAAGATAAGTGGTATTTATTGCGAATGCTTGCAATAACAAAGTATTAACATAGAAGAAAATCAATTTAGAGATTTAAGTTAATACTTTTCACTTAATTCATTCTTTAATGTTTAATTAACAGGGAGTATAACAAAAGCAAGACATTATGGATTGTCTTTTTAGAGTTCAAGTTTGTTTGTAGGTTAAGAAGTGCCGTGCAAAATATATTTTCTCTGAGACGTCCCCAACATCCTAGGCCAAGATGGTAACTGTGGACTTATGGAACATTGAGATTGCGTCATTATTCCCGGACATAACAAACATATAAAGTTCGAAGAGTTCGGTAAACGGCGTGTCGACTGCCTGAAACTAAAGCATAAGGAAGCATACTGAAAACATTTGAAACAAATACCGAATTTGATATATAACTGTATTGTTTGACAATATCCCAATACGCAAAAGAACAATTATTTATTTGTAACTTTTAAAGGCTTATATGCTAATCATGACATTTTCTCACTGTATGTATTCCTTTACAAGTATATCTAATTCAGTATGAGATTGATCAATCATACCATCATAAATGACTCACCTTGCATACTTGCTGAGCGGAATTTTTTAATTCTTGTTCATTTATTTCTGCTCCGTCACAGAGAAGCAACGTAATACAGGTTCCAACACTGACACTATTTCTATCATCATTATTATTATCACGAGGATCACAAATCTAGAAAGGGCAGATTGACGTGGGTTTCGTGCTTTCAAAAGCGACGCTGTTCAACTGTTCTGAATGTATTGGTATCTTAATCATTTTTAGTTAGAATATAGCACCTTAGAATCAGCAGATAGTGTCAATTCAGGAACAAGGAGTATCAGTTTCTATCAGCAGTGATGACAAGTGGTCAAGCGTTATCTCGCCACTGACCACGCGGTGCCGGGGAACTGGACAGCCGCCTGTGGGATATCGGTGATGTCTCTGTCAGCTGCAGTAGCCCCGTAAACCTCAGATCCATCAACCGCCAGGTGGCGTTCCAAGGCCCTGGGCGCTGAATCAAAAAATCAAAACTACTACTGCTGCCACTACCATTACCAATAATAATGATAACGATAATACTGCTGATGATGTTACTACTGCTCCTCCACATCCCCCTACTGCTATTGTTTTTGCTACTCGTACTTCTATTTATATGTCTACACCTACTTCTACTGCTACTGCTACTTCTACTCCTAAGGTTATGTTATTGTTATTATTAATATTAATATTGCTACAGTTCCAGCTCTCACTGAATTTCAACTGCTGCTACTGCTATAAATTACAGGGTGTTCAGCATTTTAGAAAGTTCCAACAAAGTGTCTGCCACTGTGGCTACCACTACCACTACCACTCAAAAGCGGGTCAGACCCGTGAAGATCCGGGGTAGAACAGGTCTTCAGCAACCCATGCTTGCCGTAAAAGGCGACTATGCTTGTCGTAAGAGGCGACTTACGTTTGTTTGTTAACGCCGCACTCAGCAATATTCAAGCTATATGACGGCGGTCTGTAAATAATCGAGTCTGGACCAGACAATCCAATGATTGACATTATGAGCATCGATCTACGCAATTGGGATACGATGACATGCATCAACCCAGTCAGCAAGTCTGACCACCCGATCCCGTTAGTCGCCTCGCCTTTTATATGTGGTGCTGAAGACCTATTCTAACCTGGATCTTCACCGATTTGTAGGGTTGAAACCCCTTAACGCAGTTACGACAATACACATTCCAGGGTTATGATTATTAAAGTCTGAATAGCGGTCTTGACTTCTGTGAAACATACGGTGATTACATGATAATATTCCGTGTTTCTGTGTAATCCAACACATGGTTTCTATTATACATAACACACACACTAGCAGGCCAACCATCGCTTCTCTGACAATCGCAGCATTCAACGTGATAAACATCTTGACCATCGTTCGAGGCAGAAAGCATTCCTTGTAATGGCGATACGCAGCGGTATCAGTGGAGAAATGTCTCTGATATGGCTCATTTCCATCTTCTGACAAATACAGAGATGGGCGCTGGTCTGATAATATCAGTGTTGATGGCTGGCTGAAAACAGGCCTCGGTTGAACCAGCATTATGTAACATGTCAGGCGTCCTGCAGGCGCGTCATATGGTTTAGCATGCACCGATTATCACGCACTGGGGTGGGTCTTACTTGTTTGAATATGAAGTATTTTACGATAATGTTGTTGAAATGGATTTTGAAACTAATTTGTGTAATTGTAGTGTTGACCAGTCAATATACTGTATGACTATTATTACCGCCTCTAAACAGATTATGTACAGTACTAGTATTACACCACATAAATAAAGTGTGTATAATTTTACCCCGTGTTACCATGGTTACTACAGTATTTATTATTCAAACACAGTATGTATAATTATACCTCGTTTAAACACCGTATGTACGACATCAGGTACTTTTAAAACAAATGTAGAAATTCATTTCTATGAAATAGTGAGAGGGGTTTAACGATATACAGTAAACTACGGTTATAACGAACTGAAAGGGACCACCCATTTCAGTTCGTAATAACCGAAGTTCGTTATAAGCATATATAGCATATATGCAACACATGGCCGGGGCTAACAAGTAAGTTCGTTATATCGGTCAGTTCGTTATAAGCGTGTTCGTTATAACCGTAGTTTACTGTATGTATATAATCGCATATCTTACTATATGCTCTAAACACATTACCCGTAGGGCGAAAACATTACCGCCCGCCCGCCCGCCCGCCCGCCCGCACAAACGTATGTTAGAGGCAGTGTATATGACTAAAGTGCCAGGCAAAAGAAAATATACGCCCATGTTTAATGGTGGTCAAGAATGAAACAAACAGGAAATGTTTATTCGATGGTAATGTATTTGAAACTCCTGTCATAGTTGTGTTTTGGGCCTTACGTTTTCATTGCATTGTTTTGGTGGCAGTTTTCATCCTCGTAACGTTTTGATACCACCGTTCGATCGTTATTTTTGAGGTCAAGTTTCAAGTGCGTCTATCTTTCTTTTGCCCGGGAGTTTAAATAAAACTCCATAGACTAACATATACATTTAGTCTGAATTATTTTTATTACACAACACATTTCTCTCCTCCAAAAAACATCTTTTCCTGACACTGCCTACATGTGGAATAGAGCTGCCTAGACTTTTTTTTTATAATTTTAGATTGGTTTTGGTTTCAGAAAATATATATATATTCCATACTGATGGTGCAGGACCTGAAACAAATATATCCAATACAGCCCATGCAAGTCTAGAATACTGAAGAAAGTCCCTGGGCTCCTTTCTATTATATCTATAACTATAATTTAACAACTTTTTTTTCTTCTGTAAATTATGTTCATTTCAGAGACTAGATGTTAGTCTAGACTGAAGACTTTGCTGTAAGAAGTACGGTGGGAAGGATAGTGGCTACTGGTCAAATCGTTGGCTCACCACACCGAAGAGTCGTGATCATTTCGATAAGTACAGTCTTTTAAGTCTGTTCTTGGCGTTCCCGGTCGTATTAGAAGCAGTCTAAAACCATTCTCACTCACTCTCCGTGTTGTTGTTGTTGTCTTAAGTGTTTATAAAGGTCGTGTGTATACAAAAGGGATGGCTACTATTTGGGAGGGGGGGGGGGGGGGGGGGGGGGGGTGTGTGTGTGTTTAAAGAAGGGGGTCATATATAGATGTCACTGAGCTACACCAAAGCTATGTGTGTACCAGAATCCCTGGTGTGTGCAATTACAAAAAGGGTTGAAGATAGGAATCCCGAGTTCCCTGTGAACAATAAAGAAGATGAAGCTGAGGGGAAACTATTCAAGATAAGTGGCACATTTACAATGCGATAACGGTCTGCTATATCTCACTGTATAGATAATTACACACAGTCGAGCGTGTGTGTACCCACGTGGTACATTTATCACGAAACACCCTTGTCACGCATGCGCACTAATCACATCAACAATGGTGGAGTAATTAGCGTAATTTCCAAGGTCACGACCGAAAATCACAAATCTTGTCCAAAGTACAGAAATTAAATGATGTTTTTGTCAATTCCATACAACTTCTTATAACTCCTTCAGTCACTTTTGTCTAGGTCAAAATGAATGAATGAGTGAGTGTTGTTTAACGCCGCCGTATTGAGCAATGTTTCTGTATACAGCCTGAGAACGATCTACGTCAGGGTATGGGGGATAGACGATGCTAGCAATCAGTCAAGTCCTTATAACATGCATTTGTTCCTCGTGTTTTGCATACAACATTTACATCTGTTCCTTGTGTTTTGCATAAGATATCTACATCTGTTGCTCGTGTTTTGCATAAGATATGCATCTGTTGCTCGTGTTTTGCATAAGATATGCATCTGTTCCTCGTGTTTTGCATAAGATATGCATTTGTTCCTCGTGTTTTCATTAGATATGCATCAGTTCCTCATGTTTTGCATACCATATCTACATCTGTTCCTCGTGTTTTGCATAAGATATGCATCCGTTCCTCGTGTTTTACATAACTATATCTGAAAGTAACCACCGCATTTAGAACAGTGCAAAGCAGTTACGAGGCTAAGACTCAGTGCTCACGACCTTCAAATTGACTGAGGAAGATACTGTAATATTAATGAATCAGAAGACGAGGAACACTTCCTCTCTACAAAGATCTGAGACAGGAACTAAATTCATCGACCGCCTTAGCTATGCACCCAGTATATAAAATACTACTAAATCCACCAGTGCCTTTTGCAAAAATTATCTCTCATTTCGTTTACAAAATGGTCATGCAAAGACAATCCGCATCTCCTCTCTAGACCTTAATCATAGCAATATTTG